AAATATCATAGTAATTATGTAATATGGGAATTTAATGTAGCCGCAACCTGTGTAGCTAGCACTTTCCACACAAAGCAATGTAGCGTCCTCTCTTATACAGTACTACTAATATGATGATATCATTTCGATGCATACATTTTAGCAGACCATTCCAAAGCAACTTACAGTTAACCTATACCCAGTGTACTGTATGTGGCCCATGCAGGAATCAAACCCACAGCTATTGTGTTGCAAGCATCATGACATAACTAACTAAGCCATTGGAACCACCAATATTAGATTGAGTAGCCTACTGCTGAGCATAGTGTATTTGAGAGGTTTTTGTGCACTAGCAGGGAACCCTGTCAGCTTTGATGTTTGTCTGTGTTTGTTTTTTAATGTTCAGCCAACATTCTTTCTACCAATCGAGAGGTTTTGCCGAGTGCTAATCCATAAAACATAAGTAGCCTTTTTTTTTTGCTCCGCAACAATCACTCGGCAATTTGTTTGTTGAAACTGCCCTCAGCGCACGACCCCGGTTCGCACTAAATCATTTACAACCAAGACACGGAGAATCGAGATTGGAGAAACAGGCGGCAAAGTTCTTTGACAAAAAGGAACATGGCTCCACTGATATTTTTAGACAAGAAAGCGGAGGAGGTTGGGTACATTCACAGCATCTTCCGAAAAAAAACTTGCCCTTGAACGATCGACATCAATCTAGCGCCGTCTTTACACTTCAAGTCAATAAAAGCCTTTTTGTAAAACCATGTTTTTGTAAATCGTCTCCCTCATCTCCAACCACCCGCTGCAAGAACCCCCCTGTAAACATGACAGTATCTCCTTTTAACTATTTTATCTCTAATTATCTCCTGTCATTATCTCGCAACAGGAGTCTTCTGAAATCGGTGGAGGAGGAGCTAAACCAGAGGTAGGCCAAACTGTGCCTTTCATTTCTGTCCCCTTCTTTCTAGTTTTAACTCCTCTTTCTTTCTCTCTCTCTCGCACTCTTTGTCTATCTCTCTATCTCTCTATCTCTCTCTTTCTCACTGAAACTCTCTTTCCCTCTTCCTATTTTTTCCTATCCTCTCTTCTCATTTCTATCTCTCTGTATTGGACAGGGCTCACTTGGAAAAATAAATGTGACTTCCCTGGTTAAATAAATAATGTATCAAATAAAAGTTATTCTTATCTCTGTCTCGTATCTCTTTCTCAACTATTTTATTCTCATCCCTTTCCCCTCATATATTTTTCTCATCTTCACCCTCTCTCTCCCTCTGCCTCTCTCCCTCGCTTTCTCTCACTCTGCTTCCCTTTCCCCCTCTCGTTCTCCTTCGCTCACTTTTTCTCTCTCTCGCTTGCTCTCGGTCTCTCGCTCTCCCTCCCCTCTCTCGAGCCACTTGCTCTTGCACTACTCAATATTTAATGTGACCTAACCTTCTGCCTCTGTGCTTGTCCGAGTGATATGGACGACTAATTTGCTTTAGAACCACCGGGGGGATTTTTCGCCCTTGCTGAGGCGTTAAAGCCGTATGCCCAATTATAGTGCAGTGGGGCTGAAAGCCGGCGGGATGTCCGCTATTGTTTATTGTAGTCTTTGTCTCGTGGTGGCTAGGGTGGTGTGCCGCTGGCATCCATAAATTTTCAGCGTTAGGGTAAAAAAAGATACCTCATGCAGGAAAGATACCCGCACTCTGATTTCCAATACACAAGTGACGATTATGTTGAAAGTGAGCAGGTCAGCTAGCTTGGTCCCAGATGGGTTTGTGCTTTATAGCCAATTCCTATGTTTGTCGTCTTACCACACGTGATTTTTGGCAAGACAGCACAAATAGATCGCTAGACTCGGTTCAAAATAAGACGGTGACTGTTTTCGGGTTTCTTCTCTACTTTCATCTTTGTAGATGAAATGGCACTTACAGAAGCAGGGCACTCTCAAATGTTGGCCAGTTCACTACTAAAGGCGTCAGCATGCTTCAGTTCTGCTGGCGGCTAGCCGAAGTCGGCTAGGCGAACCGAACGAGTGTGCTCGCATACGCCCTTAAAAGTCCTTTGCTTGAAAAACAAGTAAAAAGTGGCAATAGTACTGTTTGCCCATTTTGAGACGCCGTAGCCTTATAATAGTCTGAATTAATCAAAAAGAAATCAAGAAATGTCATTAATTTTGATGTTTTTGCCGAGTCATGCAATTTTACATCTAACTAAGATGTTTGGTCCAGTATTTCTCTATGAAACCATGTGCATGAAAACGAGTCGCCTCTCATTGAATGACAACAAAGACTTTACTGAGGAATCCCTACTGTTGACCAATCACCGATGAATGGCGTAGACTTCGGCTACCAACTTTGGCTTTCCTCAAGAAAAAAAACTGTGTGCCCGAAAAAACCCTCACCAAAGTCCAAAACGAACAAAAACGTCACAAAATGTCGTCATAATATACACCACCGTTCAAAAGTTTGGGGTCACTTAGAAATGTCCTTGTTTTCCATGAAAACATACATGAAATGACTTTGAATAGGAAATACAGCAAAATCCATAGGAAATGTAGTCATTGACAAGGTTAGAAATAATGATTTTTAATAGAAATAATAATTGTGTCCTTCAAACTTTGCTTTCGTCAAAGAATCCTCCATTTGCAGCAATTACAGGCTTGCAGACCTTTGGCATTCTAGTTGTCAATTTGTTGAGGTAATCTGAAGAGATTTCACCCCATGCTTCCTGAAGCACCTCCCACAAGTTGGATTGGCTTAATGGGCACTTCTTACGTACCATACGGTCAAGCTGCTCCCACAACAGCTCAATAGGGTTGAGATCCGGTGACTGTGCTGGCCACTCCATTATAGACAGAATACCAGCTGACTGCTTCTTCCCTAAATAGTTATTGCATAGTTTGGAGCTGTGCTTTGGGTCATTGTCCTGTTGTAGGAGGAAATTGGCTCCAATCAAGCGCCGTCCACAGGGTATGGCATGGCGTTGCAAAATGGAGTGATAGCCTTCCTTCTTCAATATTCCTTTTACCCTGTACAAATCTCCCACTTTACCACCACCAAAGCACCCCCAGACCATCACATTGCCTCCACCATGCTTGAGAGATGGCATCAAGCACTCCTCCAGCATATTTTCATTTGGTCTGTGTCTCACAAATGTTCTTCTTTGTGATCCGAACACCTCAAGCTTCGATTTGTCTGTCCAAAACACTTTTTTCCAATCTTCCTCTGTCCAGTGTCTGTGTTCTTTTGCCCATCTTAATCTTTTCTTTTTATTGGCCAGTCTGAGAAATGGCATTTTCTTTGCAACTCTGCCTATAAGGTCAGCATCCTGTAGTCGCCTCTTCACTGTTGACATTGAGACTGGTGTTTTGCGGGTACTATTTAATGAAGCTGCCAGTTGAAGACCTGTGAGGCGTCTGTTTCTCAAACTAGACACTCTAATGTATTTGTCCTCTTGCTCAGTTGTGCACCGGGGCCTCCCACTCCTCTTTCTATTCTGGTTAGAGACAGTTTGCACTGTTCTGTGAAGGGAGTAGTACACAGCGTTGTACGAGATCTTCAGTTTCATGGCAATTTTTCGCATGGAATAGCCTTCATTTCTCAGGACAAGAATAGACTGACGAGTTTCAGAAGAAATGTCTTTGTTTCTGGCCATTTTGATTCTGTAATCGAACCCACAATTGCTGATGCTCCAGATACTCAACTAGTCTCAAGAAGGCTTCTTTAATCAGCACAACAGTTTTCAGCAGTGCTAACATAATTGCAAAAGGGTTTTTTTAATGATCAATTAGCCTTTTAAAATGATAACTTGGATTAGCAAACACATCGTGCCATTGGAACACAGGACTGATGGTTGCTGATATTGGGCCTCTGTACACCTATGTAGATATTCCATAAAAAATCAGCTGTTTCCAGCTAAAATAGCCATTTACAACATTAACAATGTCTACTCTGTATTTCTGATCAATTTGATGTTATTTTATTGGACCAAAAAAATTGCTTTTCTTTCAAAAACAAGGAAATGTCTAAGTGACTCCTAATAACTTTCCTATATTGGACAGGAGAAGAGCATGCATCCATCCCACTGCTGAAATGCTGTTCAATAGGATAGTTGTTATGGACGTGTCTCTTTCCTCATCTCTCCAAAGCCCTTAGAAGGCAGCGCTCAGCTGCTTCTAAGCAACTATTGAGAAATGTCCCTCTCTTCAACTCTACCTCTTACTTACAACTACAAATAATTGTATTGTATTCATCCCAGAGGGGCAATTACAAAGGCATTAATAAAGTTGCATTGAATTGAAATGTACATCCCTCTTCTTCTCCCTTAGGGGACACGAGACTCATTTAGATGACGACGATGATGATGATGGTGGTGGTGGTGATGACGATTGTGGTGATGATGATGGTGGTGACCATGATGATGAAATGCAACAGTAAGTCCTACTGTCGTCAACCCCTTTCTCCTTACTTGTGAGAAGAATTTAACAACTCTCCTCTTAACATTTCATCTATAAACTGGAGCTATGAATGTTTCGTTATGCAAATGATTGGAACTTGCTACTCTACTATGGGCCAGGTTCATGTTCATTAAGCGTTTCTTATTGGACAAGTCCAGGTAGTCTTTTATTTAGTCTGTTTTCTTCCATTTGATGCCTAATAATGCCTAATGGTGCCTAATGAACATACACTGAGTGTATGAACACCTGCTCTTTCCATGATATAGACTGACCAGGTGAAGCTATGATCCCTTATTAATGTCACTTGTTAAATCCACTTCAATCAGTGTAGATGAAGGGGAGGAGACAGGTTAAATAATTATTTTTAAGCCTTGAGGCAATTGAGACATTGATTGTGTATGTGTGCCATTCAGAGGGCAAAAGCAGCGGGGGGGGGGGGGGGGGTGCAACTCAATATTAGGAAGGTATTCTTAATGTTTTGTACACTGTGTATATGATACACAAAGGTATAACTATTTGTACAATAGGTTGTTCTAATAGTTATACCCTCTCTCTTAGTGCCAAGGGCTCCACAATGCGACCCAAAGAGCCTCCACCACCGCCTCCCAACGTCAAGGTATGTATTCTTCAAATTACTCATTGTCCATCTTATGAGACCGGGAGCATAGTGTTTCCTCACATATAAACCTGTAAGATGATCTGTTTTCTACAGTGTACATACAGGAATCATTTTGTGGCACCACTTTAAATGGAACATAGCACAACATTTGTTCATGTTTCCTATAGGCCCTATTGTGTGCAGTAGAGCATAATACTCAAGTTATTTCTTGGTGTGACCTTACATCTAATGATGATGATTACATGTGTGACGTGTGTGCTTTGATGCCGATCCTGTAGCGTTGGGGGTCAAATCAATTTCAACATATTTGGGTCAAATTCATTTCAACTAATTTGTTTCAATTCAGTTGACTTCCTCCATTAAATGGGAATTTCTCTCAGCCCATCCCCATTCCACAGGATGGTGCCAACTACCACGCTCACCATGGCTCCCCCACTCACCATGGCTCCCCCGGTCTCTACGGCTCCCCCGGTGACCATGACGACCACGGGGGGACCATAAAGCGTTGTCCAGCCGCCGAGAGCCCCGCCCGCTCTGCCACCCATGTGCCGCCCAGGCCGCCGCCCCCCAGACTCCCCCCTGCACAAGCAGCTTAGCTTAGGTAGGTAACGTAGTCTACAGGCGTGCTCACAAACTGAATGGGTGCATTCTGGGAGATGTAGGCAATTCTTGGTAGTGGTGGAATCCCCTATGTCAGAAATGCATTAATGCTGGTTTTCTTAACTCCCCTGCACTTAATTGGAGGACCAATGCTGTGGACCCCTTGAATGAATTAATTCATGAATTAATTAATAGATGAATGGGTTGGTGGGTTAGTGAGTGAGTGAGTCAATGAATGAATGCATCAGTCAGTCACTTAAATTCATCACAATACCAACCACAGTACCCAAACCGGACCACCTAGACAATAAGTGTGATGATGCTGAGATAAAAGCTACCACTGTTTTCAGGGATGTCTCCTTCCAACCCTGCCAACATCCATCCACCCACTCTACTAAACTCAAGAGGCTCCGCCCCACCTCCTCCCTGTCTTAGCCAGTCAGCTTTTCCAAAGTGGACATTGTGTGTGTGTGTGTGTGTGTGTGTGTGTGTGTGTGTGTGTGCCCCATGTTGCGGTTGCCAGCTAGTATTTATAGCCGGTCAGTTTCATTAGGAGCAGTGGTGTGTCTGGTGTTGGCATGCGATAATGTCACACACCCACTCTGCCTCATGAGTCACCCTCCAATACACACACACTCACACAAACTTCCCCAGTTTCCACATCCTGTCCGCTTCAAGTAGTCTGGTGGCAGGGGCCAATTTTCAAACGAAGATGACTGTTCCTCACGTGGGCATCTCAATAGTTTTCCTCCCCTCATCAGCTTTCCTTCATCTGTACTAGCACCTGGGCTAATCCACCCTATTGCATTCGCCTGTCCTGTTGTTTTCACATATGTCAAGGTGAAGGAGATGAGACGAGGAGTGGACGACACTTTAGACTATTGAGACAAAGTCTTAGTTTAGTCACTGAGGTGATCATAGTCGTATCACTGTCTTGTTTCAGCACAATTGTTGGAATTGCTCAGTTCCCACAGAGCCACATTCTCTCTTGCTTCCTTTTCACTCTTCACAGCACCATTCAGATTGTGGCTATCGGGGAATCATTTCAATAAATAATGTAATATTTAAAAGATATATCAATAATTAATTTCCCTCCCAACAGGCAATGGGTTCAGCCCGTCAGAAGTGACCGGGGATGCTGGTGGTGCCGAGAAGCAGTCTACTATGCCACCTAGTGTCACCACGAGGAAGGACAGGAAAGCGATTCCGGTAACATCATAGTAATGTAGCCTTGGTCAGAAGCTGTGCGTAAAAATTGGTGGCGACACTTTCGGTGAATTTCCTGTGTATAATGCACTTAAAGTGGATTCTGACAAATCCATAGTGCATTATAAGACTTCCTGTAAGCATTATGTTTTAAACATACAGGTAGGAAAGTGCATTATATTGATAACCGGTCATGGCTGTCATTAATTCATTAATACCTATAATGAGGTGTTCATTATATCATTTACATTTACATTTGCGTCATTTAGCAGACGCTCTTATCCAGAGCGACTTACAGTTAGTGCATACATTATTCTATTTTTATTTTTGTTCTTATTTTTTTATCTTTTTTTTCTTTATGAATTTTATTTTGTTTCTTTTTTTATATATATATACATAATGCATTATTGCATAATGTATTCATAATGCATTACACACAGTGCTGATCATAGAAAGTGTTATTTAAACAGTTTCTGATCTTTTCACATTTTTACACTAATTGTACTATGCGTTACCTGAAAGTCAGTTATTTGGTGAATAATTCATGTAAATGGTGATTAATTCATTAACATGTTCTAACCGCTGTGATAACAGACTTAAATTTTCATTGCAACATAGATAATTATGCAGTTTTGATTATGACTAAACATAAATCTTCTAATTCTTCTTAGAAGTGTATTTTTATTTGCACCCAGAGCTCTGAACAAAGAGCATTTATTCTATGTTCACCTCATTAGTTACTCATTAATAAGCAACGACTCATTAATTAAAGATCACGTAGAGTGCATTCAAAGTGCTACCGTGTCATTCCCAAGTTACAGCACTGATAAAGACAGAATTATACCATTGTTAACACAATGATATCCACTTATTTTAACATTTAATAATATTACAGGATAATATACAGTATATTTTAACTATGATTGTTAATCATTCTACGCTGACTTTGGTATGATGATGTCATTTCCTGTTTCCTCAGAAACCAATCAGTAATGGCCTTCCCCCCACGCCAAAAGTCCACGTAAGTCTTAACACCCCTTACCTGCTCTTACACACACGCATTGTCAAGTAAAAAGCTATAACTCTGTACTGTAGGAAAAAGCAAATGAGCACTAAGATACAGAAACAAAAGAACAAATGTGTTGATTACACATTCATTATATAAATCATTTATGTGAATTGTAATTCATTCATTAGCAACCTAAAAGTAGTAGTGTTGAATTCATAACACATTTGTAATCACCTCGACCCACGAGCTAGAGATCCTGCCTTAACTGAATTGCTTTAAGTGGTTTTTCCAAGTGTTTACATTGTGAAATGCTCTACATTTATCAACTATAACTAAACAACTACATTCCTCTCCATTTTGTTTTCTATTTTTGCTGCACAGATGGGTGCCTGTTTCTCCAAAGTCTTCAATGGCTGCCCTCTAAAGATCCACTGTGCGGCGTCTTGGATCAACCCCGACACGAGAGGTGGGCCTTGTACCAATTCATTTCTGTGTTACTACCATGGACCCTGATTCCATCAATTGCAGATAACAGGAAACTGTGTTTATACTGTAATTTAAGGACATATGTGGTTTCGTGTCAATATTCAATGACAATGTCCGCAGGGGTGTGCAGGGTGTGACAGATTGAGCTCGGTTAATATTTTGACCGAACCCGCTGTGCGATTTACCTTTATCTGCAATTGATTGAATTGAAGTTACTTTATTTTTTGTCTCCCGCTAGCGGGCGTCCCACTGTACAGTCGTGGTCAAAAGTTTTGAGAATGACACAAATACTAATTTTCACAGTCTGCTGCCTCAGTTTTGATATATATATATACTCCAGAATGTCATGAAGAGTGATCAGATGAATTGCAATGAATTGCAATGAATTGCAAAGTCCCTCTTTGCCATGAAAATGAACTTAATCCCCCAAAAACATTTCCACTGCATTTCACCCCTGCCACAAAAGGACCAGCTGCCATCATGTCAGTGATTCTCTCGTTAACACAGGTGAGAGTGTTGACGAGGACAAGGCTGGAGATCACTCTGTCATGCTGATTGAGTTAGAATAACAGACTGGAAGCTTTAAAAGGAGGGTGGTGCTTGAAATCATTGTTCTTCCTCTGTTAACCATGGCTACCTGCAAGGAAACACGTGCCATCATCATTCCTTTGCACAAAAAGGGCTTCACAGGCAAGGATATTGCTGCTAGTAAGATTGCACCTAAATCAACCATTTATCGGATCATCAAGAACTTTAAGGAGAGATGTTCAATTGTTGTGAAGAAATTGGGGTAAAGTCATTTTCTCTGATGAATCCCCTTTCCAATTGTTTGGGGCATCCGGAAAACACCTTGTCCGGAGAAGACAAGGTGAGCACTACCATCAGTCCTGTGTCATGCCAACAGTAAAGCATCCTGAGACCATTCATGTGTGGGGTTGCTTCTCAGCCAAGGGAGTGGGCTCACTCACAATTTTGCCTCAGAACACAGCCATGAATAAAGAATGGTACCAACACATCCTCCGAGAGCAACTTCTCCCAACCATCCAAGAACAGTTTGGTGAAGACCAATGCCTTTTCCAGCATGATGGAGCACCTTGCCATATGGCAAAAGTGATAACTAAGTGGCTCTGGGAACAAAACATCAACATTTTGGGTCCATGGCCAGGAGACTCCCCAGACCTTAATCCCATTGAGAACTTGTGGTCAATCCTCAAGAGGTGGGTGGACAAACAAAAACCCACAAATTCTGACAAACTCCAAGCATTTATTATGCAAGAATGGGCTGCCATCAGTCAGGATGTGGCCCAGAAGTTAATTGACAGCATGCCAGGGCGGATTGCAGAGGTCTTGAAAAAGAAGGGTCAACATTGCAAATATTGACTCTTTGCATAAACTTAATGTAATTGTCAATAAAAGCCTTTGACATTTATGGAATGCTTGTAATTATACTTCAGTATACCATAGTAACATCTGACAAAAATATCTAAAAACACTGAAGCAGCAAACTTTGTGAAGACCAATACTTGTGTCATTCTCAAAACTTTTGACCACGACTGTATTCTTGTTCGAGAATGGCTTGGAGAAACTTAGAACAGGAGTCGAGGCTAACTTGATTTTAGTCTTTGTCTTACATTGTCTTATTTGCAGTTTGCGTGTGCTACTACTAGTTTCCTTCTTAGGCAGTGTCCTAAGCAATGTGTGTATTGTCCAAGTTGACCAGTCTCTCTCTGTTATAATACTTGATCGTTTCGTTCTCTGTTTTAGACCAATACCTGCTATTCGGCGCCGAAGAGGGCATTTACACTTTAAATCTCAATGAGCTGCATGACTCCTCCATGGAACAGGTCAGTGTTTCGTTATTTCATTTGCATGATCTTTTTCTCAGTAAATTGAAATTGTTCTAACTGCTTCCAATGTTTTTACAGTGTAATGTATAAACCATAATCTATGTATTTATGTGAAGGTTGAACATATTTTCTATCACATCATATTTCAGATTATAGTTCAATTTGAATGCTTGCTTCTTTGTGACGCAAGTAAAGGATTTTAGGTTTTATCCACAAGGTTTTATCCACAAGGATTTGAGGTTTTATCCACAACTGGTCAATAAGACATGGATTATGATGAATTGTACCACCTACAGAACTATTAAACTGAAACATTTTTTTATTTCCTAGCTCTTTCCCCGGAGGTGTACCTGGCTTTATGTCATGAGTAATAGTTTGCTCTCCATATCTGGTAAGGATTCATCATAGAAACGTGTATTGCCACATATTGCTAATATACCTCAACAAATAACTGTAGTGCACACTCAAAGTTTTACATTTTTTGTTTTATTTGTACTTTCCAGAATATACAGTGGGGAAAAAAAGTAGTTAGTCAGCCACCAATTGTGCAAGTTCTCCCACTTAAAAAGATGAGAGAGGCCTGTAATTTTCATCATAGGTACACGTCAACTATGACAGACAAAATGAGAAAGAAAATTCCAGAAAATTCCATTGTAGGATTTTTAATGAATTTATTTGCAAATTATGGTGGAAAATAAGTATTTGGTCAATAACAAAAGTTTCTCAATACTTTGTTATATATCCTTTGTTGGCAATGACACAGGTCAAACGTTTTCTGTAAGTCTTCACAAGGTTTTCACACACTGTTGCTGGTATTTTGGCCCATTCCTCCATGCAGATCTCCTCTAGAGCAGTGATGTTTTGGGGCTGTCGCTGGGCAACACAGACTTTCAACTCCCTCCAAAGATTTTCTATGGGGTTGAGATCTGGAGACTGGCTAGGCCACTCCAGGACCTTGAAATGCTTCTTACGAAGCCACTCCTTCATTGCCCGGGCGGTGTGTTTGGGATCATTGTCATGCTGAAAGACCCAGCCACGTTTCATCTTCAATGCCCTTGCTGATGGATGGAGGTTTTCACTCAAAATCTCACGATACATGGCCCCATTCATTCTTTCCTTTACACGGATCAGTCGTCCTGGTCCCTTTGCAGAAAAACAGCCCCAAAGCATGATGTTTCCACCCCCATGCTTCACAGTAGGTATGGTGTTCTTTGGATGCAACTCAGCATTCTTTGTCCTCCAAACATGACGAGTTGAGTTTTTACCAAAAAGTTATATTTTGGTTTCATCTGACCATATGACATTCTCCCAATCCTCTTCTGGATCATCCAAATGCACACTAGCAAACTTCAGACGGGCCTGGACATGTACTGGCTTAAGCAGGGGGACACGTCTGGCACTGCAGGATTTGAGTCCCTGGCGGCGTAGTGTGTTACTGATGGTAGGCTTTGTTACTTTGGTCCCAGCTCCCAGCTCTATGCAGGTCATACACTAGGTCCCCCCCGTGTGGTTCTGGGATTTTTGCTCACCGTTCTTGTGATCATTTTGACCCCACGGGGTGAGATCTTGCGTGGAGCCCCAGATCGAGGGAGATTATCAGTGGTCTTGTATGTCTTCCATTTCCTAATAATTGCTCCCACAGTTGATTTCTTCAAACCAAGCTGCTTACCTATTGCAGATTCAGTCTTCCCAGCCTGGTGCAGGTCTACAATTTTGTTTCTGGTGTCCTTTGACAGCTCTTTGGTCTTGGCCATAGTGGAGTTTGGCGTGTGACTGTTTGAGGTTGTGGACGTGTCTTTTATACTGATAACAAGTTCAAACAGGTGCCATTAATACAGGTAACGAGTGGAGGACAGAGGATCCTCTTAAAGAAGAAGTTACAGGTCTGTGAGAGCCAGAAATCTTGCTTGTTTGTAGGTGACCAAATACTTATTGTACCAATACTTATTTTCCACCAAATTTGCAAATAAATTCATTAAAAATCCTACAATGTGATTTTCTGGATTTTTTTTCCTCAATTTGTCTGTCATAGTTGACGTGTACCTATGATGAAAATTACAGGCCTCTCTCATCTTTTTAAGTGGGAGAACTTGCACAATTGGTGGCTGACTAAATACTTTTTTCCCCCCACTGTAATAGAATAGATTCTCCAGACACATCATATAAATGTACCGTTGGCCTCACACAATGACAGTGACAGACATTAAAAATATAAACCATAAGCAGCAATTTGTCATCAAGAGCATTAGTCTCATTTGATCATTAAATATGCACTCGTAAATATAAATCGTAAATACTACTTGTCAATACTTGCTCCAGATTTACAAGCATGTAGACGCTGCACTATTTGCGTGAAATTCAAAGATAATAAAATCGCCTTCAAAGCATTCAAAATATGTGTTCGTTGTGTTTTTTGCCAGGAAAAGCCTCGCAGCTCTACTGTCACAATCTGGCGGGTCTGTATGAGCACGCTCGACAGATGCAGAAGCTGCCAATGGCCATCCCCACCCACCGGCTCCCAGACAAAATCATTCCAAGGTAAGAAGATGCCGATGCATCTGTGTGTAGGAGTTTTCTGTGGGAAGAGTCCCACTTTTCAGACTAAATTCTTTGTTATTGTGGTTTTTAGGAAATTTTCCATCTCCAATAAGATTCCCGACACCAAGGGATGTCAGAAGTGCTGTGTGGGTGAGTAGACATGGACATTCTCTTTTTCTGTTTCTCATGCTTTTTCTCTCTCTCTCCCTCGGTTTTCCTCTCTTTCTACGTCCAACCCCTTACTTTCCCACAAGTTGCTACATAATCTTGCTACAGGATTGAGAGTAGTTGATACACGAATGTGTTTCTTAGATGCATCACTTTACTACATGTAATAAACGCAATACTTCTCCATACCCCTTATAACCAATTATGACAACAACCTCTTCATCTGAGGACCAATAGTAGAAAGGTCTTTGAAATACATTATTGTGGTCACAGCTTAGTATGATTGACAGCCCTGGCTGTCTACCAACTCTTCCCCCTTAGTGAGAAACCCTTACACGGGCCACAAGTACTTGTGTGGGGCCTTCCAATCCAGTGTGGTCATGTTGGAATGGGTGGAGCCCATGCAGAAGTTCATGCTCATCAAGGTAAGAATTTTTGTGTCTGTGTTCATTTATTTTTCCATGTCCATGTGTTTGCCAGGCTCACGGTTGACTCTCTCCAAACCTTTGAGGAGTGCTTACAGCCCATGTCATAGCCATATGAGAGTTTTTCTATTGAGGTTTCAACCAAAAACAAAAAAGCATTGATGGTAGCTATGCTAAGAGCCTCCGGGGAAGAATTGACTAATAACAATCCACAACTTCCCCTAACTGCCCTGTCAAATGGAGGTGTTTGAGATATGCTAAGAGACATCCCTTTACCTTGTAGCCTACATGCTAATGGAAACGCACTTCCCTCTTCCTAAAAACACTGACTTCCCCCTGCCCGATGACACTGGAGGTGTTTGTATTTGAGATAAGCATTCTAACCCGCCAACATAGACTAAGCTACCCTTGCTTTGTAACTGACGAGCTAATGCTAACGCTTACTCTGTCCTCTCCTAAGAACATTAACTTTCCTCTGCCATGCCCATGGAGGTGTTTGTAATCTACAAGCTAATGCTAACTCTAGCCCTCTCCTCCAAAGAACATAGAGTTTGAGATTAGCATGCTAACATGCTATAGTCTAGACCAGGGAGTTTTCAGGTCAGTCAGGGTCTCAACTTACTGTTGCGAGTTAGAATAGTAGAATTGACAAGGTGCACTGATAGTCAGTCCATTAGCCCATGTCACCATTTTCTCTACACCCCATAGCAAAATGTGTAGAATTGCACAAACTGAACTCTAAAACTTAGTGGTTACACGCGCATCGGTTTTGTTGGTAAACACCCCACCCGTCGACATGCCTAATGCTAACTTTCCTCTCCTCCCAAGAACATCGAATTTGAGATTAGCATGCTAACATGCTAGAGTCTAGACCGTGTAGCATAATGATAATGCTAACCCTCTCTTCCTAACATTGACATGCCTAATGCTAATGCAAACCCTCTCCTCCTAAGAACATTGACTTTCCCCTGCCCTGCCCGATGGAGGTGTTTGAGATGCTTGTGGTGCCCGAGCACCAGTACCCCCTCATCTGTATGGGCGTCAGCAAGGGCACGGAGCTCAACCAGGTGGTAGGCTTTGAGACACTGGACCCCAACACCGCTTGCCCCTGGCTCAAAGAGTCCGGTAAGATCTCATTCAAAGATTGTCCTTGACTCCCCAATGACATAGACTTGACACAAATCAAGATTTTTGTGCTCCTTTAATATGACTATGGAAGTTATGGAACTTCATTGAAATTAAATAAACATTCAATATCATTATTTATTTACCCCATTATTATGTGCAGTTGAAGTCGGAAGTTTACATACACCTTAGCCAAATACATTTAAACTCAGTTTTTCACAATTCCTGACATTTAATCCTAGTAAAAATTCCCTGTCTTAGGTCAGTTAGGATCACCACTTTATTTTAAGAATGTGAAATGTCAGAATAATAGTAGAGAGAATGATTTATTTCAGCTTTTATTTTTTTCATCACATTCCCAGTGGGTCAGAAGTTTACATACACTCAATTAGTATTTGGTAGCATTGCCTTTAAATTGTTTAACTTGGGTCAAACGTTTCGGGTAGCCTTCCACAAGCTTCCCACAATAAGTTGGGTGAATTTTGGCCCATTCCTCCTGACAGAGCTGGTGTAACTGAGTCAGGTTTGTAGGCCTCCTTGCTCGCACACGCTTTTTCAGTTCTGCCCACACATTTTCTATAGGATTGAGGTCAGGGCTTTGTGATGGCCACTCCAAATACCTTGACTTTGTTGTCCTTAAGCCATTTTGTCACAACTTTGGAAGTATGCTTGGGGTCATTGTCCATTTGGAAGACCCATTTGCGACCAAGCTTTAACTTCCTGACTGATGTCTTGAGATGTTGCTTCAATATATCCACATAATTTTCCTTCCTCATGATGCCATCTATTTTGTGAAGTGCACCAGTCCCTCCTGCAGCAAAGCACCCCCACAGCATGATTGCCACCCCCGTGCTTCACGGTTGGGATGGTGTTCTTCGGCTTGCAAGCTATCCCCTTTTTCCTCCAAACATAACGATGGTCATTATGGCCAAACAGTTATATTTTTATTTCATCAGACCAGAGGACATTTCTCCAAAAAGTACGATCTTTGTCCCCATGTGCAGTTGCAAACCGTAGTCTGGCTTTTTATGGTGGTTTTGGAGCAGTGGCTTCTTCCTTGCTGAGCGGCCTTTCAGGTTATGTCGATATAGGACTCGTTTTACTGTGGACATAGATACTTTTGTACCTGTTTCCTCCAGCATCTTCACAAGGTCCTTTGCTGTTGTTCTGGGATTGATTTGCACTTTTCGCACCAAAGTACGTTCATCTCTAAGAGACAGAACGCGTCTCCTTCCTGAGCGTATGACGGCTGCGTGGTCCCATGGTGTTTATACTTGCGTACTATTGTTTGTACAGATGAACATGGTACCTTCAGGCGTTTGGAAATTGCTCCCAAGGATGAACCAGACTTGTGGAGGTCTACATATATTTTTCTGAGGTGTTGGCTGATTTCTTTTGATTTTCCCATGATGTCAAGCAAAGAGGCACTGAGTTTGAAGGTAGGCCTTGAAATACATCCACAGGTACACCTCCAATTGACTCAAATGATGTCAATTAGCCTATCAGAAGCTTCTAAAGCCATGACATCATTTTCTGGAATTTTCCAAGCTGTTTAAAGGCACAGTCAACTTAGTGTATGTCAACTTCTGACCCACTGGAATTGTGATGCAGTGAATTATAAGTGAAATAATCTGTCTGTAAACAATTGTTGGAATGACTTGTCATGCACAAAGTAGATGTCCTAACCGACTTGCCAAAACTATAGTTTTTTAACAAGAAATTTGTGGAGTGGTTGAAAAACGAGTTTTAAAGACTCCAACCTAAGAGTATGTAAACCTCCGACTTCAACTGTATATTTTCTTTATCGTAGCACACACTGGAGGCTGACGTTCACATTCTACACATTGACCATACTGGAAATTGTAAACTTTTCAAATGTTAACAATTATAGAGAAAATATAGTCCTATATGATTGTGTACATTCATAATGGAAAATGTTTGACGTTAATACAGCAAAAGATTAAAAGGTTAGTTGACGTTTTTCTGTTTTCTCTCCTCCTAGACACTCCACAGACCTGTGTTATCCATGTGACTCAACTGGAAAGAGACACCATTCTTGTCTGCCTGGATCGTGAGTCTAGCAGCATGTCTTGACTATACAAACATCTGATTTGCATTGTAATATTATCTATATAGATTATATATGCATTGTACGTTCATTGTATGCATTGCTGATAACATTATGACAATATGTTAACGGTGTGTAATGTTTTATCACTAAGCTGTCGTTTAAATGACATGGGGGGGGGGAAACTCACCTCAATAGCCACCAATGTGTTGCACCCGCCTGGATGGACGGCAGCCATTTTGTGCCTGGATGTCTTCAGTTTCTTGAAATAGCATCATTGTTTAACTCCCATTTTCCTTTTCCCCCTCAGGATCCATTAAGATTGTAAATCTGCAGGGGAGGCTGAAGTCCAGTAGAAAGCTTTCAGCCGAGCTGACGTTTAATTTTCAGATTGAGTCGATAGGTAAACGCCCTTGACCCCTTTGCTAGAGTAGATTCCATTGCTGTTGATAATTGTGTGTGTGTCTGTGTGTAGATAGATTCCCATCCCTTTATTTACTGTTCCTTTGGAAAGTATTCAGAACCCTTGGCTTTATTCTAAAATGTATTAAATTGTTTTTTTCCCTAATCAATCTACACACAATACCCCATAATGACAATGCAAAAAATACAAAACTGAAATATCACATTTACATACGTATTCAGACCCTTTACTCAGTACTTTGTTGAAGCACCTTTGGCAGCGATTACAGCATCGAGTCTTCTTGGGTATGACACTACAAGCTTGGCACATCTGTATTTGGGGAGTTTCTCCCATTCTTCTCTGCAGATCCTCTCAAGTTCTGTCAGGTTGGATGGGGAGCGTTGCTGCACAGCTATTTTCAGGTCTCTCCAGAGATGTTCGATCAGGTTCAAGTCCGGGCTCTGGCTGGGCCAACTCAAGGACATTAAGAGACTTGTACCGAAGCCACTCCTGCGTTGTCTTGGCTGTGTGCTTAGGGTTGTTGTCCTGTTGGAAGGTGAACCTTCGCCCCAGTCTGAGGTCCTGAGCGCTCTGGAGCAGGTTTTCATCATTTGATCTCTCTGTACTTTGCTCCGTTCATCTATGCCTCGATCCTGACTAGTCTCCCAGTCCCTGCCGCTGAAAAACATCCCCACAGCATGATGCTGCCACCACCATGCTTCACAGTAGGGATGGTGCCAGGTTTCCTCCAGACGTGACGCTTGGCATTCAGGCCAAAGAGTTCAATCTTGGTTTCATCAGACCAGAGAATCTTGTTTCTCATGGTCTGAGAGTCATTAGGTGCCTTTTGGCAAAATCCAAGCGGGCTGCCATGTTATTTTTACTGAGGAGTGGCTTCCGTCTGGCCACTCTACCATCAAGGCCTGATTGGTGGAGTGCTGCAGAGATGGTTGTCCTTCTGGAAGGTTCTCCCATCTCCACAGAGGAACTCTAGAGCTCTGTCAGAGTGACCATCGGTACCCTTCCCCAGATCTGTGCCTTGACCAAATCCTGTGTCGGCACTCTACGGACAATTAGTTTGGCTTGGTTTTTGCTCTGACATGCACTGTCAACTGTGGGAACTTATATGGACAGGTGTGTGCCTTTCCAAATCATGTCCAATCAATTGACTTTACCACAGGTGGACTCCAATCAAGTTGTAGAAACATCTCAAGGATGATCAATGGAAACAGGATGCACCTGAGCTCAATTTCGAGTCCCATAGCAAAGGGTCTGAATACTTATGTAAATAAAGTATTTCTGTTTTTATTTTTAATACATTTGCAAAAATGTCTAAAAAACAGTTTTTGCTTTGTCATTATGGGGTATTATCTGTAGATTGCTGAGGATGTCTTTTTTTAAATCCATTTTAGAATAAGGCTGTAACGTAATTTTTTTTGGGGAAAAGTCAAGGGGTCTGAATAGGCACTGTATACCAGCAGTGCTACAAGTTTAGCCAACACGCGCACACACACACACATGCATGTGTACGCGCACACACACACACATACACACACGTATCAACAGCTATAGAATGGAGAGGAGAGCAGAGTATCACAGTCATGTTATGATGAATGACATTCTGGTAAAATTGAACATCCATCTTTTCCACAGTCTGCCTTCAAGACAGTGTTCTGGCTTTCTGGAGACATGGCATGCAAGGACGGAGTTTCAAATCTAATGAGGCAAGTTGCATCAATGCCCCGGCGGATGCAATAACTGTATAACAATAGTATTTTAAATGTATATAACAATAGTATATGAACTGTATATTGTTGTTTTGTTGTTTTAATATGATGACTATGATAATGACTGCGATGACGTGAATATTAGATCCTGTCCATATTCCCACCAGATTACACAGGAGATTTCCGACAACACCAGGATATTCCGACTCCTAGGATCAGACAGGTGAGAAATCCCTTTTTAGATTGAGGTTAAATCCGTTTAGCAGGGATCATCAACTAGATTAAAAATAATATTGTATTTTTGTTCAGAAAACTTGGGGTGGGGGGGGCAAATCAAATCACCACCAGTTGGGGAACCCTGCGTTTAGTGTTGTGGATACAAATTAATTTAGCGACCCCTGCTGGCATGGTACGAATCCCCTCTCAGTCCTTCTCATCTAACTGTCCCTCTACACATATCTCCCTCATTTCTGAAAAAAAAATGCATGGTCAGAAGAATTTTTTTAAAAGTGCCTCGATTAGTGCCTGTAATAGCAATGGTGGTGTTCCAGATCGTACTTTTTGTCGTCGCGTCTCAGAAGATTGCTATATCGTATTCATGCAGTTCATGCTATGTTTAACACTTATCCATGCATTGTGAGATCTGATCGTCTGTGCCATCGAGACTGAAGTAGGCCTGTGGCCATAAAGTGACTTAGGGCTGTTTGGGAGGATGTAACAATATAAAAACGTTCAGATAGAAATGTATTGTGTAGAACAGATATGATTGTCTATCAGATGGAATAGGTACAGTAATTGGGCCAGCTCTATTCATTTTATTTCTATCTGCAACATTCAGATCATTTCACATCACTAAATACACCCCTGTTGTACCTTTGATTGCAGGGTTGTGGTGCTGGAGAGCAGACCCACAGACAACCCTACAGCGCACAGCAACCTATACATCCTGGCTGGACACGAGAACAGTTACTAATCACCCTGTGCCCTGGGAACCAGGGTCCTGTTCAGTAGGCACACAACTTTCTGAAACGGAGTGATACAGGGATGTACTATCTGAACCTGTCCAATAAGAAACCTTCGTTTTCATTGTCGGTTACAAAACATTTTCCATTGTATGCCTTAATGAACATGGCCCAGGGTTGGTTTCAGTTACATTTTAAGAGATTATGAATCTGAATTAAATTCAGTTATTGAAAATTGCAATTAGGTTTGGAATTGGAATTCATGTCCTGAAATGAAACTATGGAACTGACCCCATCCCTGATGGGAACAGAATATGATGATGATGAGGATGTCTGCCTCTGCATCTGAGACCAAGGAGTTGCAATCGGACCATTCATCGAGCAAGCGACCTTGGATGTGTCCTGTTTTTAATTTAATCTTATGATTTTAATTGAAAGTCGACATTTATAGTAACACAAACCCACATTCCTGGATATCACACTATTTCAGTATTGACCAACTACTGAGAGCATGCAACCTTCTCTAACAAGTGCTTGACAGATGTGTTTGTAATTAATGTAAATAGTATATTGAGGTTGTACACTGAGTATGTCATGTAGATAACCGTTCTGCATATATTTTGTACAGTTGCCCCCCAACTTTGAGAGATATAAAGAGTTGTTGTCTAATCAATGTGGGGTACTACTTTTAAGGGCTTGTCAAGCAATGTAATTTTACAAAACTTAGTAGTAGGACGTCAAAGAGCACAGTGGCTGTTCATTTTTATCATGAGTTGCCTTTTTTTATATGTTAGACTCATTTTAATATCAAGCCATATGCAATGTCATATTATTTTCACACACTTTAATTCCAACCCCATAGAAAGTTGTCAATGCTCAGATAGGCACTGGCTGTGAAATTTGCACATAGTTGTATGCAATAAAACACTTTATTCGTACATTTAAGGTATGGTTAGGTTGTGCTTATAGTATTTGCATGAGTGCATAAGAATACATCATACTATACACTTCAGATGTAAACTCAGACAAATTTAACCAAGCAATATAAGGTTTCTTTTTGACATACACAGGCAAGCTCTTGTTAAAACTGCAGTGAAATTTAAGAGAATCTGGGCAATTGTACCATCTTAGAATCCCTTTCCTTATGGTGGCCAATGAGTTGAATGCTGAATGTTTGCCAAATTGCATTGTTCATATTCTTTGTTATGGTGTTTGAGCGTCATAGTAAGACCTCTACCTCGTGCATTGGGGAGTCAGTGGGAATATGTAGGGCCAAATTGAACATGTAACACTAAATGTCGGTTGTTGACTCCATGTAGCATGCACAAGTAAAGGAGGGTATGATGAAGTATAAGGATCTTCTCACTTGGTTTCTTTCCATATTGCTTTTGTGTCATGTAAATACAGTCGAATAAAATGGCTTAATTGTGCCTGTACAACTGCCAATATTTGGACAAGTTACATATTAAACATTTTAACTCACGATGGGCTAAATTGATTGACTGATGAGCCATAGGAAGCCTGTTTTTTTTATCCTACATTGTTGACGGTATGATGAAGTATAAGGATCTTCTCACTTGGTTTCTTTCAATATTGCTTTTGGTTCATGTAAATACTGTAAAAAAAATTGTTAATTTTGCCCTGTAAAAACTGCCTATTTTTTGGACATTTTTACATTTAAAATTTTTAAACTCTAGGGAAATTGATTGATGATGGCTATAGAAAGCCAATTTTTTTTTTCTCTACATTTTAGTGGGTAATGTTTTTTAATTTTTTAAACCTAGGGAAATAATTTCTGCCCAGTTTAGATGTTGTTTTGAACATTGGGATACTTACTATACCATAAACTCTCCACACAGTTAGTGGAGGTTCTGCTTCGTTGGAATAAGCAAAAGTTTGCTTCATGGTTCTTGAACTGTAGTCAATCTGGACTCAGCGTAGACCACTAAAATCCTGTCCTATGGGGGAAAGAAATGCAATTTGCAAATAATTGTCATTAATATTATATGTATTACTTATAAACCTCTAATATCATGATGTGTAATTAAATGTATGCAAATTAACATTATTATGTGGTGTTGACTCCATTAGTATCACAATTAAGGAGGGTTATGATTGAATTAGGATCTTCCTGTTTTTCCAACTTGCTTTGTCTTAAAACAGTGAAAAACGGCTTAATTGTGCTTACACTGCCAATATTTGACAAGTTACATATAAACATTTCATAATCACGATGGGCTATGATGACGATGCCATAGGAAGCCTGTTTTTTATCCTAAGTTGCGTTTATGTGAATATAAGGATGCTTTCAGTTGGTTTCTTTCAATATTTTTTAGTTTCATGTAAATACGTAAAACTGAAATTGTTATTTTGCCTCAATTGTCTACTTGGTGGTCCTATTAAATTTTAACCAATGATGGGATAAATTGATTGACCGCAGAGCTTGAAGGAGTTGACTTTTTTCATGACATTTTAGTGGGTATGAGATTTAATCTGTTAAACCTACGGAAAATTTTGCCCAGATGTAGATGTGTGTTTTGAACATTGGGAATACTTAATACACCATGAACTGCTCCACACAGTTAGTGGAGGTGTCTACTTTGGGAAGTATCTACAAAAAGATGAATGCTTTCCATGATGCTTTCTCTGGGATCTGTTAGTCAAGTCTGCGACCTCACGGCGTGAGCACAAAAGGCGTCAGCACAAAACTAGCACTAGTTCACATGCATCGTTGGTATGTTTCAAGTTTTAATGTCACATGCACAAGTACAGTGAAATGCCTTTCTTGCAAACTCAAAACCCAACAATGCAATAATCAATAACAATGTATTACTAGAAAAAAGCACACGAGAAATAAGAATAAGAAATACACAAAGTAATTAAGTAAGTATACTATATACAGGAAATATTTTAAAAATCAGTTCCAATACCATATATACATGTGCAGGGATACTGGAGTGATGGAGGTAGATGTGTATAGGGGTAAGGTGACTTGTCAACAGGATATAAGATAAACAGAGTAGCAGCAGCTTGTATGTGAGTGGGTGTGTAGAGTCAGTAGAAATGTATGTGCAAATGATGTGTGAGTGAGAAATGTGTGTGAGTGTGAAGGGCCCTGTGAGTATGCAATGGTTTCAAGTGATCTTCATAAAGCGAACTTTCTTCATGCTATCTTTCAATCAATTATTGTTCTCGGTTTATCCCGATTGTATACAGATCTGCGAATTTGGCCAGGAGCGATGATTATCGAAAACAAGCCCTAAGTACGTCATTAGCTATCCATTGCGCATGTGCAATTTTTCTCCCAACAACTGCACCCGACCCGAGTCATAACAATCGTCCAAATAAATCATATTGACCAAAGGTAAACTGGCAATTAAAGCCAGCCTGTGCGTGGAATCTTGGTTTTCTCGATAACCTAACAAAAAGCTAAATAGTCTGGAGACATGTTTTGGAAATGATAAATTCATGGAGGATAACACGGTTATCAATATCCACCCTGCCGAAGATTCGGTGAAAATGGGCGATTATGCACCGAATAGTTTTTTTTTGCCCCAAATAGAAGGAATGATTCAACTGGCCGAAAAGGACGAACAGTATCGCATTTCCCGAAACGTGAAGTGACACATCCATCCCCAAGTTGGATACTAGCTAGCCAGCTACGCCACTGTCCACAGATTGCTAGTTCATCACTACTGACAACCATCTTCCGATTCGGATCGATCGGCTACAGCTAGTAATATCACCAGCTCGGCTGCTAGTTAGCTACTACTACAAGCTTGCTAAATCAGCTAGGCTAACGTTAGTTTGTTGCCACCAACGTCAGTTCAGAACTTGGAATAATTTCCATCTGCCAACGCAACGCAGCCTAGTTAGTTAGCATTTTAAGTATCTTTGGTTTCGTGAATTGTGGCTTTTATTACTCTCGTCCGAAAGAGCAAGCTCGGCAGCTGGACGGCTAGCAGCTATCAACATCTGTACACTGCCGATGCAATGGTCGCATTGTTAACTGTTTTGGTAGAGGAATGCTCATTGGGTGGATATTCTGAGGCAGCGGGCCGCACAGAATATTGCACCTCTCAGTTCCAACCACGGGCCACACTATATACTGTTTTGATGTGAAAAGTGGCCGTGAACACACATCGCTCGCTGCCTGCAAGATAGCGCACGAAGACGGGCAGCTGAAGCCATGCAAGCGGCCCAGGTTCAGTACGACTTTTTCAGCGAGGAGAACGCACCGAAATGGCGGGGGTTATTGGTA